CACATTTGTTTACACCAATTGGTTGAAGTTGCTGATATATTTTTCTTCTCCCTCATTGCTAAAAAGGCCTGCATTTACTAATAAATGTCATCTGAATTGCTTACCTCCAAGCTGTGTCTTTACGATAGATGAAATAATAAAAGTAATTGTTACTTTGATGATGTTATAATACCAAAAGACTGGGAGAGGATTTTGTTCTCTTAATTACTCTGATTATCTTACTAATCTTTGATTGAAGAGCATGTTTCAGAGGGATTCTCCTGCACGTAGAAAATAACTCCTTTTGTTGTATGGGTTGGGATGTTTGCAACATCCCAACATCAGCTAGCTGCCTTTTACATGATTTTTTGTCTTGTGGATTATGTACATTATTTGTGAATTATTTTTGAATAATTCAATAAATCAATAAATCAACAAAATTAATAAATCAATAAATATTTTATTTGTGAATAATATTTTATCTGTAGGCAGGGCTGTATTAGGTATGCTGTGGAGTATCTAATGTTCTCTCATTTCTACATACCAGTCTTGGCCTGAATGTTCTAAACTTGCCCGTTCTGTCATCTTTTGTTACCTGCCACCAAGAGGGCTACTGGGTGGTGAAGATAACTCCTATAGTACAAACACTGGTAGATAGTGGCCAGAGACAGTCATGTTTGTCTGCTCACTGGGGCAGGTTGCAGAAGTAGTGGCTGGTATTTTTTTATTGTTTTCATTTTCCTGATTATATGATTTAGGGATCTAACATCTTTGATTTGAGATCTTCTCTTAAATACATTAGGTGATTAATATTATCATCTGTGAATGTAATATAGTAAATATTATAGTATAAAGTGGTATGCCCTGTGCCTGTATCCCTTGAGGTTTGGCTTGGTAATCAGAGTGATGTTTAGTTTTACTTTGGAAATAGAAGCTTTTGTTCACTTTTTCTCAGAAGCTGGAAATCCTGTAACTGTCAGCTGTATGTCAGTCTAATGAGAAATGAAAAAGGAACATTGTTCCCACCAAGAAAAACCTCAAAAAACCTTTTCCAATTTATCTATCAAAATCACTGGTATTTTTTTTTTTCATTCTTTCCATTTTTTTTCCCTTCGATTATTTTAGGGAAAGTGAGTCAAAGTAGTTTTCAGAAAATGCCCGTTTTTACTGTCTAATATGGTAATTCCAAATGTTTATCCAATTATCTAGCTACTACAGTGGCTAGAAGCTTGTCTTCTGTATTTTCTGTGTATGTTTCTGTATATATGTTTCTATATATTCTGTATTTCAGGCAGGCAGCAGTAGTGCTGAGCATGATATTTCTCCATTACTTTTTACTCAGAGGTTTACGTCTTTAGCAGCTTAAAGACGTCTAGAAAAAAAAAATCAATTATATTCCTAGTATCTGGTATTTCTTTTTAAGCCACTTGCAATAGAGCTGTTAAAACGTAGTGGAAATTCATCAAAGACTGCTGAAAGACAGAAATTCTGTGCCTCACTTAAACATAATTCTTTTCATGTATTATTATGATTCCATCAGACAATGCATTTTTTCTTGATGTTTTTTAATTCTTTGGGCTTAAATAATGTTCTCTCCCCCCCTCCCCCCCTCCAACAAACTGCTGGAAGTCTTACAGCTAACAGAAAAAACAGTGATACTTTATATTTTTATTTAAACAACAGTTTCTCCTGCACGTAGTGCAATGCATCTTGAATTTGGAAGGGATTTTGTGTGTGAACTGAGAGATAATAGCGTTTCTTGTACATATTACATATATTATTTTTAGAAATGAAAAATCTTGTAATGCACCAACTTCATATGCACCTTCCACTCTCCAGATACCTCAGTTCCTTTTCTGTTACTGTTTATTGTGACTGATCAAGGATATGATGTACGAGAGAAACAGTTTCAAATGATGTCAAGTCTTTCACAGAGTATCTGTACATAGATTGATAAATGAATAGATAGATTTTATTTGAAAAAGAGAATTCTGATCAGATACTTTTGAATAAAAACTAATATCAAATGCAACTGATTAAAACCACAATTTCAGAGTTTGCTTTTCTTACAATCATAGAATCATAAAATCTTTAGGGTTGGAAGGGACCTTTAAAGGTCATTTGACCCACTCTCCTGCAATGAACAGGGACATCCACAACCACGACAGGTTGCCCAGGGCCTGGTCCAGCCTGGCCTTGAAAGTCTTCAGGAATGTGGCGGTAATCACTTCTGTGGGCAACCTGTTCCAGTGCCTTCCTACCCTCAGTGCAAAAGTTGTTTTCCTTCCAACCTAACTTTCCCCTTTTTAGGCTTGAAATCCTTTCCCACTGTCCTGTCACAGCAGGCCCTGCTGAAGAGTCTGTCCCCTTCTTTCCTGTAGCTCCCCTTTAGATACTGATAAGCCGCTATCAGGTCACCTTGTCGCCTTCCTTTCTCCAGGCTTAACAGATCCATCTCTTTCAGTCTGTCCTTATAGGAGAGGCACCCCAGGACTTTTTTGGCAGTGCTTTGCCCAGTCCTTTCATCCCCAGCTTCTTCTTCTTTTCATATAATCTTCCATTATAGAGTGGCGTTGTGAAAATGCAGCGTATTGATGTTGACATTCAGATTACTTAATCTAGCCATATTTTTTAGCTGAATGTGAGATTTAACTGACTTTAAATTTAAACATGTTAGTTAAATAAAATGTGGTTTTAAACTGATAACATTATTATTCTTCGAGTAGATTGTATATATTTGAAACTTAACCATTCATTTCTTAAGAATTAGAAGTTTTTAAGAATTATCTTTAAATTGTAGTTCAACAGTATCCAGTCTGTTATGTCAGATTCTTCTAAACTGTGCTTATTGAAGTGGTGATAACTGACTTTTCAGCAGAAGTCAGGCTGCAGTGTATTTCTGCTGTCTGTATGTAGATGGAGGAGTTAATTTTTTTTTTTTTCTGCCATATTTTGATGTAGGATTCTGAAGCTAACTTTGTGATAGCTCTAGTCTGAAGTTGCACATGGCTATTCTGCATGACAGTCCCTACATATTACTAACACAGTAGTAGTAGAGACTCTATTGGGACAGAGCTCTAACGTGTTTTGGTAGGAATATTTGGAATTGTGTGGAATGAGGCTGTGATGGTAGCACTGAATATGGGTACTGCATACCTTACCTCATTATTCAGAAACTCACCCCATTCTAAATTCAAAATGGGGAGGAAACTTTCCAGCAGAGAATGTTGTACTTAATAAGCATAATGAGTCCGTACATAACGAACATAATATAAATTCAGAGATATTTCATGGAGCTAGGCATTTAATGAAAAAAAAAAAAAAAAGAATACATCATACTATAAGTGTACCAACGACAAAAGCACAGGATTACCTTTTGAAGAAAGAAAACAGAATTCTGTGCAATCCACAGTAGAAAATCTGCCTTAGGAGTGTGCTGGACTGGATGATATCCAGTGATGCCTTCCAACCCCTATGATTTTGTGACACACTTTTCTCACTTCTGAGACATAATCGTTTCAAAGAATGAAATAATAGATTATTTGTATCCTTAAGTTTAGAAACTTGGTCAAGAAGATAATTCTGTCTGGAGACTGGGCCTCATCTGATGTTAAATTAAAAAAAAATCACTTGTGCTAACTGAAATTTGGGAAGTCATTTTAAAATATTTTATGTTTGCAGTAACTTCCCACTAAGTCATTACCATATTCTAGCTTTTGCCTTCAGGTTTTCATATTTTTTCTTAGAATGAAAGGAAAGCAAACATGTTAATACACCTTGATTTTTTCTTTTCATTGCACTATGTACGCTTTTCAAGAAAAAGAAAGGTAGGTTAGAAATAAGTAGAAAGAGCAGACAAAAGAATTTGCATCATTCTACAGAAAGCAAGCTAATAAACACTAGCAGTCCATCACAAGCATGTTTCAATTTTTATGAGTAAACACCTTCCATGTTTTTTTCCACTCCTTTTAAATTAACTGTAGCAATCTGGAAAGCCAGACTATGTATTTAGCATTTTTTGTATATCACTGTTTACCTTAAAGAAAACATTATCTCAGTTTTGCCCATTAACAGAGTCATTTATCTATAGTATTAAATTCTTTGAAAGTTTTTCCACGTAAGAATCTATTTTTTAGCCAATTTGCTTTCAATCTGGAAAATGCATGTACTGCAGGCATATTGATTTATTTATCACAGCCTCTTATAGTATTTTGAAGCTTTGAAAAAATAACTTCAGATATAAAATCATCTCTTAGCATTTACAGCATTTCTTTCAAAGAATCCCATTTTCACAATTGTTAAGTGTGAATTCAACTGGTATAAAATATTCTACTGATAAGCAGGATTTGAAAGAAAACAATATGAAGATTATTGATCAGAGACCAAAGTGAAGTTGATGAGGGAAGTAGTGCATGACATTTTGAGGTGTACATTGCACAGAAGGCTAGATTACAGGTTAATAACATTCTGTTCTAGGCCTTAAAACATAAAATTTTGAAGTGTCTGCTCCCATTCTTGCCTGTTCCTTCCTCTTTGTTGGAAAACACAAACAAAGCAGAAAGTTGGTGTGGTACTTCTGTGCATTTCTTAACTAACAAATTTCTCATTAGAAGAGATGTAGAAGTTGGAACCCTATAAATGCCTGCTAATACCTTTTGGGTGTGTGACTAGTATGTCACTTATTTTTAAGAAGAAAATACGAAATGATGCTGCTGAGGATTTGTGCAGCGTTTGGATTCAATATGTTATTCTTAAAATTACAAAGCACAGTTAATAGAGACAGAAGTAAGGGTATGGCTTCTTTTTGTTCTTAGCTTTAGAACTTAGTCAAGTCTTAACTGGGCTGAAGTACCTCTGTAATATCCTGGAATATCACATTTTTTTCTGAGTTAACAACTTTAAATATTCTTACCACTAGAAGAATTGGATTTCACATGTGGGATTTTTGTTTTTGATTTTGTTAACTACAAGCTGTGACATATTATACAACTTGTCCGTCAAGTTCCTCTGTTCCTTTGCAGTGCACCTGCAGGAAAGACATGGTCACAATTTCCATGGACGTTTTTGTGAGAAAGTTTCAGCCAGACAGATACCAGCTGTGGAAGCAAGGCAAAGATTTATATACCATTGATCATACAAAGCCTACTCCTGAATCAACACCTGAAGTAAAGATGTGGCTACAGAGAAGAAAGAAAATAAGGAAACTTTCCGACAGGTATTTGTTTCTTTATTCTTCATTTGGTTGTTTTCAATATGTTGTCCATTTCCCTGTTTCTTTTGTATGTCTCTGACATTCTATTCTAGTTTGTTACATGCATGGCTGAAGTTAATGAGCATAGAGAACGTCAAAATTCATTCTAGTCTGGAATTTAGAATCATTCTTTAATAAATATCATTCCAGAGAAAATTACAAAATTTCGTTGTTTCTAGTGACTTCTGCATCCAAAAAAACAAGGGAGAAGTGTCATCATCACAGGTGAGATAGGGATTAAATTGGAAAAACAAGGCATGGAGCTGTGGCAGAATCCCTGCAGCCATGTGATGTCTCTAGCAACAGTCTTAGCACTCACTACAATCTGGTTCTAAGGAGATATCATTGCTTGTTTGGCAGACTCAGTGCAGCAGCCAAAACCTTTCTGTATCTACCTCAGGTCAGCGATAGATCATAACAACAGTCTAAATCCCAGTTATTTATGTTTGCACCACTAACAAAAATAGAGGAAAAAAATCTCAGCTGGTACTAAAGGTACTAAATTTCAAATCCTGACCTATTAAAGCAGTTTTACAGCTGATTTAGTTTTCTTGTTGCTCATCATGTCTTTGTTTACATAGTGCAGATACATTTTGTTTCTGCACTACTGCTTTCCTGTCCTGATTTTACTGAACATGATTTTTATGGATTTTCTTTTTCATTATCTAATAAAGATCATCTTAGCTTCTAGTGTAGAGTGGACTGTTGTATTGATATCTATTTACGGTGAAGTTTTCTGGGTTAAGGACAATACCTTTCCAAATTTCTATTTAACTTTGAATTTCATCATTTTCTTCATGAGTGCATGTCATTACTGAGGAAGATAATAGAAAAATCAACCCATTTCTTCATACAGAAGAGAACCAACTCCTGTTGTAGAGGAGAAACGTAGCTGAGGAATGTAACACTGGGTCTGTTCTCAGGTTGCTAAGAACAGTTTGTGAGATATAATCAGGTATTAAAGACAGCTAACAAAGAAGATGAGCGGCCAGTTTCTTATAAGGGTACCAACCCAAATAGAATGATTTTGTCCATTAGCTAATTCAGCACCCTTTTGCTCTGTAGTAAGCTTCAGTTATGTTGTGGCATAACTGCGCCTGTACACTTGGATACAGTTTTAACTATAAGCAAAGACTTTTTAAAAATCATATTGAAAGCATTATCACAGGAACACGTAATATGATTTCATGCACATTCCTATGTTGTTTAATTCTTGATTGGCTTTTGTTCAGCCATGTTAATAATGCATCTTACAAAGGGAGAATGAAGTACTTGTTCAGCTTCATTTCTACTATAACATGTCAAATGAAATTTGTAATCATTTTGATTTTGGTAATTATGTTAGTTTCAACACAGGGAAAATTGAAATACCACGTATGGGGATTTTCATGAATGCACGTACATAACATAACTTCAACATCTGAAGCTGAAATAGTTTGCTTCAACACAACTGCATAAAACCAGTTATAATACTGGTTGTATCATACTTTGACAAATTTTACAATTTGTCAAAGTATCCACTTTGGATGCTTGGAATTACAATTTTATAGAAATACTATTATTACTGTTAGTGTTTGAGAGGATGTTGGAAGGTATGGATTAGTGGATACTAGATAAAGGAAAAAGGTTAACAAAACTTTTTTTTTTCTTTCTTTTCCTGGAGATGTTTAGGGTCTCACATGCAAGACCATTGTAAAATCTCCTGTTTTTTTTCTGTAGTTGGGCATTTATTGCAAATGCATCATCAGTTTTACAGTCTAATATACGATCAGTCAGATACAGATCTTCTCTTTTGGTATCACAGAGTTGAATTTGAAACTGGACTTCAATCTCCCATTTATCCTGAGCGCGTAAACTGCAAAACTGTTTCTGAAAGAGGCTCACAGCTCTTTTGTTCCAACTTTGCTCTTCAGCTTCTGAGAGTGCAAAAGCATGTATGGAAGACTTTATTTCAAATTTGGTTCTTAAAAATCATTGTCAAATTTATTGTTAGATATAATAGACGTTCAGAATATTTGGTGGTCAGAATTTTTTGTTCATTCAGATGCTTGTTTGTATTAAAATGCGTATAAAACCTTCTGTGATATATGGGCAGTCCTGATTTTATAGGGGTACTTGATATAGTATTTTGCTGGCACTGGTATGGGAAGTAGCACCTGGTTTTAGCACATTTGAGAGAGTTTTGCTTTCATTACTTTCTTAATGGTTGATCTCTTTCAGGTTCAAAAGAATGGTTCATCAAAAAACTAATTTGGATGCTGGTTAAGTGATAGTCATGTAAAATCATTTTACAGTTTAATAACTTCTGTCATAGAATGGTGAAAAAGATTAGAAGGTTAAATCAAATAGTTAATCTATCAATAAATTGTAAACACTATCTCAACACAAAAAGATGAAAAATTGTCAGGTTTTACCACTTTAAGCAGGTGAAAGGGACATATATATTGGTAGACATTTTATCTTATCCAAGACAGACTCCACTTTGACAGCAATATCTCTTATAGCAGCTTCCAGCACAACAGATCTCGATCTAAAAAGCTTAAAACTCCAGGGGACAAGAGACAATCTGCTATGGCAACTGGTGCAGAAATCAAAGAGACTGAAGCAACTACTGATGGCTTCAAGGTCAATGAAAAACCAGATGAAAAAGTGAGTCCGCTAAATACAGAAGTGCCTTCTGGAGAAGAAGAAAGCAGTAGCAGAATGCAGCTGGATCAACATTTATTGGATAATGTCAAGGTTGCAGGTGAGATAAGGACAGATGATTTTTCACATGTAAGTTGTAGATTCTCTGATGCCATGGATTAGTTGATATTAAAGCATCGTACTATCCTATGTAGAATACTAACATAAGTACTTAGAAAGTTACACAGAGGGGGTTGATGCAGTAAAAGTGAATGATCAAATTACTGTTTAGAACTGAAAGTAGCATCACCTGTATAACTCCTGTAATAGCAATTGTACAGCAAAACATGGGATGACATAACACTGATGCAGACAGTGTTGAACATATATACTTGCAATGCATTACATGTATTTTTATCAAGAATACTGCATGTTAAAATTAGTCTTTGTGCAAAAAATGCTCTATTTTCAGACTACAAAATTACTGTCACTTTCCCTTTAACAGTCTGATAATGCAAGTTATAAAGCTGCTGTGAAGTCAAAGGTGCTTTGTTCCCTACTGTGATTTCGTACTGAGATCTACTGATATGTTTAATCTGTTCTTTCTCTTAATATTGAATTTCACTGTAGCTCAAGTATATACATTCCTGTTCCAAAATGCAAATCTTGAAATCTTACCTTTGAGGGCAGTCCTGTGATGTCAAATTTATACAAAAGATTGGTATACGCAGACTGTTTTCCTGGTTTTAATTATTAATAGTTGTGTTACTTTTGTTAGAGGTGGTAAACATCAGGATTGAGCCCATGAGGATGCCACATTGATTAATCCAATATGGAAGCTTTTTGTAGTGCTGTTCCTTTACAACTTCCCCCAACTTTAACAGAGGTTTGAAATGTTCCATGAACACTAAGAAACTAGTGATTAGTTATAGTGATTAGTTAGCTTCCTTCAAGCGCTCATTGATAAGGGAAGGAAAAGCAGAGAAAAGTGGAGCACTATCTGTTTTTCCTTGTGCTGTTGAAAAGTGGTACCTAGACCTTTGTAAAGGAAAGGACCATTTTAGATGTAACACTGGTAGCTCCAGGTGAAGGGATTTGCCCTGAGTATCTCTGGCTAGTACATTCATTATGCTCTATCGGGGCAGTAGTCTTCATTTGCATAGATTCTGTTTTGTTATTGGATGGACTTTTATCAGTTTTCTGATTTGATCTGTCGTTTTATCAGAAGAGCACACCGAAATAACCAATGTGAAGAAAAAGTAAAAGGGGGCTTTAGAGTCTTTTTTCTTTATTACCTTGGAAGTGCTGCTGAAAAGTACACTGCGGTGTGTGGCATAGAGTTCTTTGAGAACATATTTTTTGGGTCCCCTCTCCAGCCTCCTGTTCTGTCTGAAAACATCCCAGAAAACATGGAAATCCATGGAAGCATCCACAGATAAAGAATTTCAACAAAGTAAATCCACACAAATTTCACCCTTCTGCACTGAAGGGTGAAATTTCACTGAAATATGAAATTACAGTAATTGCTGAACTATAAATTTATGCTAATTGCTTTTCATTTTTAGACTAGTGCTGTCGCTTTCAAAAATATTCTTGGTATCTATTTGGAATATATTTTCCTAATTATAAACCATTAGTCTTTGTTTATTTTCATTTGTAAAACTGGCATAATACATATAAATGCAGATCATAAAGGTCAATATACCAACCTTCTATATTGTGTTTTTTTTCAGCCAGTAAAAGTGCTTGCAAGCTGTCAGAGTAAACAAGCTACATGAATATTGATTATTTTGAATCACTTAAAACTGTTGCAATTCAAACACAAAATGCCCATAAGAAGATTAAAGCTATATTTCACTCTCCAAACTCAAAATTTTACATTTAATTTATTCTGTGATCAAACCTATATTCCACTTTTATGTACGTCCTTCTACTACATTATTTGTTTTGTATGATTTCTAAATGAGGAACTGTATTCTTTATTTGAATAATTCAGATTGTTTTGAAGTGAAATGCAGTAATATAATGTGAGATTTATTAAGAAGCCATATTTTTGATCCACAGGAAGCATCCTTTCAGACTCATTTTCCTGTCCTGTTCCTTTACGAATGGAACCAAAAGCTGATGAGGACAAGGAGGATTCCAGTGACTCTCTCGTTGCATTTGAAGATTCAGGGGCCTGTGTGCCCATTTCAACCAGCTGTAAGAAAGAAGAGGGTTTGAAAACTCAGTATAAGTCTAAATCATCCATACCATACCTGAAGTGCCAGGAACATAATTCTGAGGCAGAAAGCCCAGCTAAAAAGGTGAATGTCTCTACAGAGGATGATGTCAGTGACCTAGAAAGTGGAAGTAGCTTGAGTCGTGGTGAACTGCCAGTTGCAAAAAGGAATGAAGATGATGACATGGAAACATCCAATGTATGTGAAGCAAATTTTCATCACTATATTAATATATTCCTGATTCAATACATGACCAAAACTGTTCCTAATGAGAACTGATATCTATAGTAAGGCAGTTAAGAATATGCATGATTTTAATCAAATGTTAATTTCAGCATCTTCTGAAGTGTTCAGACAAGAGTGAGAATTGAGAGGTAGGATTTTTTGGATCTTACTTGTTGATGTGTTTTCCCTCTGATTTTAGATTTTCACTTTGTGTCTGTGAATCTGATCTGTCAATGCCTACTCATAAGGTGATCACTGTCTGCCAGTGTTAACAAGGCAGTGAGCTTTAATTGACCAGCAATGTGTTGAACTAGAAATACAAATTATTATGTATCACAGAATGGTAGATGTTGGAGGGGACCTCTGGAGGTCAGTCCAACTGTCTTGCTCAATCAAGTTCACCCAGAGCACGGTGCCCAGGACCGTGCCAGGTGGCATTTGAAAATCTCCTTGGAGGGAGACTCCACAGTCACTAGGCAACCTGTGCTGCTGCTCCATCATCTGCATAGTAAAGAAGTGATTCCTGGTGTTTAGACAGTACTTCTTGTGTTCCACTTTGTGCCCACTGCTTCTTGTTCTGGCATGGGCACCACCGGAAAGAGTCTATCCTCCACTCTCTTCAGGTGTTCATACACATTGGTAAGATCTTTCTATTCTCCATCCTGACGTCCCAGCTCTCTCAGCCTCTCCTCACAGTAGAGTTGCTCTGGTCTGTTGTTCATCTTTGCAATCCTGTAGATGACTGGACTCTCTCCCTGTCTTACTTGAACTGGGGACCCCAGAATTGGACATGGTACTCCACATGTGACCTCACCAATGCTGAGGGTTAGTTCTCTTGACCTTACAGTGATGCTTGATCTGATACAGCCAAGAATGCTATTATTTTTCATAGCTGCAAGAGCACATTGCTCAACTTGGTATCCATGAGGACCTCAAAAGGTTTTTTCCTGCCATGCTCCTTTCCAGCTGGGTGAACCCCAGCATGTCCTGGTGCTTGAGACTGTCCCTCTCACTTGCAGGACACTGCATTTCTTCTTGTTGAACTTCATAATATTTTTGTCAGCCCAACTCTCTAGATTTTCGGGGTCTATCTGTATGCCTGTCGAGTCAATCACTCCTCACAGTTTTGTGTTATCCACAATTAGAAATAAGTACTGTATTTATTATCACACCTTTATATTTAAAAAAATGTTTTGTTTTTTACCCATTATCATGCTAAGAATCCAGAAGAAGGCAAAGGATCTAGTAGAAGGGCTAGAATTAATGCCCAGTGAGGAAAGGCTGAGTACAGTCGGGTTACCCAGTCAAGGAGGCCAAGAGTCAATACAGCTCCCTGAGGAGGGGAAGCAGTGGGAGCTGCTGGGTTCTGCTCTTCACAGCTTACGGTGGGCAGGAATGGCACAAAGCTGCCGTAGAAGGTTCATATTTCACATTAGGAAGCATTTCTATGCCATGATGATGATCAGATACTGGAACAGGCTTCCTAGAGATGATTAGTAGCCCATCCCTGTCAGTGTTTCAGGAGGCATTTTGGTAGTGTTATAATTTTGCTTTAGCTCTCAGTTAGTCCTGAAGTGGCCAGGCAGTTGGAATAGATAGTGTTCGAAAGCTCCTTTGAGCTGAATTTAACTCTTCTCTTCTGTTCTAATGCACTGCTGTTCTTCTGTGGAAGGGTGAAGAGCATTTATTTTAGGAAGCATAATGAAAAATACAAAGCTGTAGTGCTAGTCACAATAGTTTTATTAGTTTGGCAGTTTCCCTGTTTGGCGACGATGGAGCCGGTGATCTACTGCCAGATTGCCAGTGTTAATGGGAAACTGGGAGGTAAAATTAAAATCACTCCAAGCATTTTACAGTCAGGAAGTGTGCACTAATGATTTTTTATTGGCTTTGTTAGCTTTAATAAGCATCCTGTATTGGAGATTATATTTATCTCTTTCTATGTTTTCAGCCATTTGTATGTTACATATAACATAAGAGATTTCAAATATTCCCCAGTATAATTGCTTACTCTTTAATGTGTTTTTCTTGTAAGTTCTTACTTAAAACTTACAAGTATGCTGCATAGATGCAATTAAAAAAGCAGATCTTTTCCTTTATAATTTGCTGGTAACTTCTTCCAGATCATCAAGCTGTCCACTGCTTTAACGTCATTTTTTCTCTGCTAATCATAGTAAACATTCCTTGTAATCGACTATACAATTGATATGTAATATTTAATTCTCAAAGCAGTCAAGGCATAGATATGAAACCTGCTGGGTTACATCCTTAGTGTTGAGCAGCAAAACAGTGTGGCCCATAGGACTTGTGTGAGATTATCCTCAACCTGTTGCCAGTATGATTGTGCTTCCTCTATTGAGAAACCAGTAACTGGTTTACTTTGTGATTTCTCCCACTGTCACCCAAATCTGGAGTAGGGAAAGATGCACTTCAAGAGATTGCAACATTGCTGTTAGTTCTTGAAGCATGGTTAATTTCAAGTTGAAAGTCTGTAGGGTCATATAAGGGAGGAAGGAATTTCCATGTAAATCAGGATGCTTAATTTTTTTTGTCTCAACTCCAAATCCATTTTTTTTTTTTAAATTTTAAACTCCCACAATGATAGTTTCCTCATGTGTTTTGCACTCTGTCACAAATTGAGTGGATTGCTGCCTCATTTTCAGAGCCACAGTTAATGTTTGCATTGTATTTCTGATTCTGCAGTTATTGGGCTGTTCTTCCTCTCAAACATTACCTGCGCAAAGGAGGACTTATATTCTATAAGTGTGGAAAAGGCTATTGTAACTTCAAATAATTAGCATTTGAAAAAGGTTGCTTTTTCTTAATTTGAGTTTTATTTTGCATTGCGGACATTTTATTGTGACTTTAAAGGTGCTTTGAGTACCCTTATATTACTTAGAAATTGATATCTGTGCACATTTATAGAAGACTGGTTGATCAAAATTAATTGTAGAATTCTGTGCTAAATTAGCTGTGCTTTTACCTTTCAGTCATCAGAAGCTGAAGGAAAGAAAGTATCTAAGAGCTGGCGTCATCCACTAAATAAACCCCCAGCTAGATCTCCAATGACTTTGGTTAAACAGCAAGCAACTAGTGATGAAGGTGAGTGTACTGCTTAGTACATTTTTTAATAGTCCTTTTTTGTCCTTAGACCATATATGGTCATTTTCACAAGCAACAAAATTTTCTTTCTGTATGGGAGATACTAACATTGTAGGGTGATTGCACGAAAACCATTCAGTGTGGTCTCTGAATACACTATTCTATTTTTACTCTTCAAGTTCTTCTAAAAACTTTGGATCTATTGTTGACAAATCCTCTCAATAGAAGTCACGTAGGAGTTCTGTGTTCACCAGTCAAATCTTCCTTGTTTCTCAGAGCAGCTGAGTTTGTGAGCAACCTGGAGCAGATCCAGAGAAGAGCAATAAGGCTTGTGGAGGGCTTGGAGAATATGCCCTATGAGGAGAGATTGAAGGATCTGGAGCTGTTTAGTCTGAGGAATAGGAGGCTGAGGGGCGACCTTATTGTTCTTTTCAAATACCTGAAAGGTGATTGCAATGAGAGTGGGGTTGGTTTCTTCTCACTGGTGACAGGTGACAGGACAAGAGGAGATGGCCTCAAGTTGTGCCAGGGAAGGTTTAGGTTGGATATCAGGAAGAACTTCTTTACCGAAATGGTTGTTAAGCACTGGAATAGGCTCCTCGGGGAGGTGGTTGAGTTACCATCCCTGGATGTGTTCAAAAACCGTTTGGATGTGGTGCTCAGGAACATGATTTAATGGAGGGATGTTAGGGTAGCATGAACATAGGAAGAACATAGTTCTGTTTCTAGATATATTGAAAGTAATCTTTGAAAATTAGAAGCAGCAAAAGGTCTCCTCGCCATTTCCCCAGGTGAACAGTTCTCTAGAAATTTTATTACATCAGTTTTCTGTTCACTTTGAAGACTTGGAAAGCAACTAAAAGTAGAGTAAGTATCCTGCATGTGAATGTATAAGACAGAGGTTCTGATTCAGCATTTAGGTACTTACAGTCTTTATTTTGTTATTTTTAATATTGACTAGTTTCCATTGTTTAACTCAAATGCATAAAGAAGAAGCTTAATATTAGTTAATAATTCTGTATATGCTTGCTTGTTTCTTAACTATAAATTGCTGGTATGGATGTTAGTATGTATTATATTGTACCTTAATTGTGTATTATTTGGTACCTTAAGGCATATCAAAGGGTATAATGAAGTAGGAATTAACAAAAAGAAGCACGTGCAAAAATAATTGCAATAAACTACACTGATATATTGAACATGATTCTGTACTCAATAAATGCTAAATAATTCTCCAGCCATTAAATTTAGTGTTCTGTGATTAGATACTGTGGTGATCCAAAAAGTTAAAAAAAAAAATACTCAGAATTTGTCAGATATTCTTTATTTGGAACCTTACTTGAGTGCTTTAACTTTAGAGATTCTCAATCTTGTGGACAAGCTACGAAAACTAAAGTGTTTACCCATAGTAATGATCTCCTTCTCCGAAATAAATGGAAGAAATTCTGCCTTACCCAGTAATCACAAGTACATCCAGACAGAGCTAGTAAATAAAGTTACTTCATTCTGTCAGATGTGACTTGCGAAGTTTATTGAACTATGCATCAAAGATATCAATCAAAGTGGAAAACAGATACATTGTTTTTATTACCTTGGTGTTTTAGTTCTGTGATTTACAGTTTTTTTCTGGACTTGTTCTTCAGAATCCTTTCCAGTTAGCACCAGCAAGTCCAACCCATGGCTTGTGGGCTGCTTGTGGCCCAGCATGGCCCAAAATGTCATCCACCCTCTCCCTGTCATTTAAAGCTGGCAGTTCTTCCCAGCAGTGGCCCCAGACATGTGCCCGTTGCTCAGCAGCACTGAAGCAATCACAGCTCTATTGGCACTATGTTGTCAGAAAGCAGCGCACAGGGAGGACAGCGCTGTGCAGGGCTGACTCAGGTGATGGCCAAAAAGCTGCATGCATTCTGATACACTGGATAAACACAGGGCCCTGAACAGTGAAGAATATGCAGCAGTGCTTTCCATTTTGATGAAGGAATTTGACAATAGAATCATGGAATTGTGGGATCATTAGAGTTGGAGTGTAGCTTTAAAGATCATCTAGTCCAACTCCTCTGCAATGAACAGGGACATCCACAGCTAGATCAGGTTGCTCAAAGAAACAATCCAGCCTGGAGTTGAATGTCTCCAGCAACAGGGCTTCCACAACATCTCTGGGCAACCTGCTCAGTGCCTCATCACCCTCACTGTAAAAGACTTTTTCCTTACATCCAACCTGAATCCCCCCTCTTTAAATTTGAAGCCACTTCCCCTTTCCTCACAACAGAACCTCCTGAAGTGTCCCCTTCTTCCTTATAACCCCTCTTTAGATACTGAAGGACCGCTCTCAGGTCACTTCAGAGCCTTCTCTTCTCCAGGCTGAACAGCTCCAGCTCTTTCAACCTGTCCTTGTAGAAGAGGCGTTCCATCCCTTGGACCATCTTTGTCACCCCCCTCTGGACATGCTCCAACAGGTCCATGTCTCTCCTGTGCTGATGACTCCACACCTGGATGCAGATCTCTAGGTGTGATCTCATTAGCGCATAGTAAAGGAGCAGGATCACCTCCTTTGCCCTGCTGACTTCTATTGATGCAGCACAAAATTTGGTTGGCCGTGTGGGCTGCAGGGCTACACTGCTGGCTCCTGCCCAGCTTTCCACCTACCAGTACCTCCCAGGTCCTTTTTGGCAGTGCTGTGCTCAGTTGTTTTGTGCATGGCCTGTATTGGTTAGTGGGGTTTGCCTCGGCCCAGTGGCAAGACCTTGTATTTGGATTTGTTGAACGTCATGAGGTTCACTTGGGCCAAGAGCTCAAGCCTGTCTAGGTCCCTCTGGCTGGCATCCTGTCTCTCTGGTTTGTCAGCTGCACCACACAGCCTGGGGTTTAAAGACTGTTCCCAAAAAATCATCTATTTACATTTGTGAGTCCAGTTTCATTTGATAAAACTACATAACCTGAAAATTTTCAAACGAAATGTGTAGAGTAGCAATCAGATATTCATCTTAAGTATCTGATTTTTACTGGACTTTCATAATCCTTACCTTAGCAGAGAAAAATATACTTCCCTTCATAGTCAGACCTTATTCATGTCATTGCGAATTTTTCAGTGAACAGTTGTTGTCAAGGGTTAGGTACAAGAGGAAATTTCCTGAAAAGCCTCTCATAAACAGCTTGCAGCCTCATTAAGAATTGCAGTCATTTCCATTGGAGCAAACTGGTGTATTAGTTTCACAAAAACAAGGTCAAATATCCCATTAGTTTTATGTTTTAGTTCCTTTTTCCTCTTTTTTAACGTTTTAAGCTACAAGTGGACTTTCTTAAGGTCTAAGAAAGACAGCATGCTTATTAATTGATTCTTCTTCTTTTGACTAAATAATGTTACACTTCTAGTTAGCATCAATTTAGGAACTGTTGAGCTGGATGCTGTAATTTTAACTGTAACTCATCGCTACATCTCCTTCCGTGTTCCAGGCCAAAACTATTTGATTTGTTTCTTCTTTATCAGTAGCTTGAAAAAGCCATAATCTCTCTCTCTTTCTTTATCTGAACCTCAGTTTTGCAGACATAATACTTCAATTAGCTGTTAAGCATCTATCTGAAAATTAGAGACAGCTTAGGCATATGATCTGTATCATATATGGATATGTTTGGATACCTAGAGGGCTAGGCAGAGAGTATTTCAGAAAGTATTATGATAATTTACACAAAAAAGATGATGTTAATATTAAGATTCATCTAGTGAAGTAATTAAAGATATAAATATGTGGTACGTTGTAGTGAAATTGCTCTCTTTTAATTAGAGATTAGAGTACTTTCGCTTGCTGATGCTTATTTAACATTAGCTATAGTTAAAACATAGTGTAAAATTCCCTCTTAAGCTTAGATTGTCTGTGGTACAATCTAGCCAGATGATGATGTCATGACACTGGTTTACAGATCTCAAGGATTGTGTTCTTCTTTTGCAGCCCTATTCAGCAGTTTTTCAGCCTTCTGGTATTTTAGTTTTATTTGAAAATAGCAGTTTTCCAAACAGGAAGTCATAACCACTAAGTACCTTCCAGTCTTTCCTGTCTAAATGATTGTGCTCCTGGTAGATGAGAGTATATTTTTGTTAGGAAAGAACCATTTCAAGTAGCTATTAAACATCCGTCTGCTTATTGACTGAAGGAAGTAATTAAGAGTTATATTGGACAGTAGCAGTTACTGGTATTTTCTAGCTGGAACCAGAGCTTGATACTATTTTCTTGTGTCTGCTTCTCTCTGTGATCTAATTTATCAGCATGCCTTTGTGAGAACACAGAAGAGAGACAGTAGATTTTGGTAAATGGAATGTTTACATCCAAGACAGAGATGGAAGAACTGCTGAGGAAGGCTGGAAAACTGAAACTTCACTAGCTTTGCTGACAAATGCTGACATGTGAGGTAGAGATCTGTTACTAGTTAAATGCCAGTGAAAAGAGATTTTTCTGATTATAAGGATGTTTCTTGTCAGATATCAGGGAACTGATATCAGTTTCAATGTTTTAATGAGTATGTTCCCCTTTTTAAGTGCTTTGTTCATATTCTGGAATTACCAGAAATTTTAATCAGTGTGTATGTTTAATTCTTTTCCTGGGTGCTTTCCGAATGGAAATGATGCCAATAATGGCTATGGTACTGTCGTCCCTTGGAACTATAGCTGTTATCTCATCTGTTCTTCTACAGGGAGGATATGTGTATTGATAGATTGTTTATATTGGCTTATAGTTGAGTTTACTGGATTCAGTCATTTCATAAACGTAAAAAAATGAAAGAAGGAAAGGAAGAAGAAGAAATGGAGAAGAAAGGAGAAGAATGTCATGGAGAATTAAAGAAAGTAGAGCTTTACACTTCATTTGCAAATCACGTTACTTCAGTTGGGTAGTGTGTTTATAGCCATTTCTAATGCAGATAATTTATATTCAAATTAATATATTTGAAGTCTTTCACAAGCTAGGCTTCTGTTAGGAAGTTTCTGCAAATAGAGGTGATCAGAGACC